AGAATTATTTTCAGTGATAATAAATAAATATTTACCTGTTTAGCTAATCTTTTAAAACACAACTTACAACCGCGCTATTAATGTTGCATACAAAAGTTCACAAGTTGAATTACACAATATAATTTTTTACACGATGTAAAATTAAACGTATTGTGCAAAAGTTTGGTAGTTTTGCAACACTACGCTGTCTAGATCAGCTGATTGTAGTGTGAGTGTAATAAATTATTAAATATGTAAATATCGGACGAAAATTGTTTTTATTTCTTTTTTTTTGCAAAGTAAATGCTTTTGTTTTGCCGGTCGGAACAATTAGAATTTAATTAATTAATAATATAACCCCGCGGGCGCGATATTCGCCACTTTCGGTGAGTTCTTTGACTAGTTATATTATAATAACTAGTTATAAGTTAGCTTTGACTAATTATATTCTTTGACTAGTTATAAGTTATTATAATAAAATTATTATTATAATAAAATTTTATCAAATGAAAACATATTTTTTCCTAAACATAATACATAATAAAACTTATTTCCAAACTAACTAACTGACATTCTTAGAAAACTATTTCTAAGACTATTTAAATTCCATATTCACAACAGTATTATTACAAATTTAATATATTTAAATTTTTATTTATTTGTTTTATCCTTACGGGTTTTTTCCCTAAATAAAAGGTTTAATTGTTGTTATTTAAAACAATAGAATAATGAAAAGAATCCAAATTCTACAATGAATAAGATTACTTGAATAAGTTAAAACAATTTTTTTTAAATAATTCGCAGCAATCATTTTCTTGTACCATTTCTGCACATCATAAACTATTATTACAGTTTAATAATTAAAGAACATATTTATTCTAATTATAAAAATAATTATCGACCTTAGAAATAGAGGAACTCAAACTGCAGTTAAAACATTAACAATTCCAATTAATAAATTATATATTTTACTTTGTTTTATGTTTATACGAAAAAATAAATTATATATACATATTTACATATACATATTTAAAAAATATGGTCAGCCAAACTTCAATAAAATTAAAATAAATTTTTGTGTTTGTCCTTTATTTCTTTCTTTGCTATTCAAAATCCCTCTAAATTTAAAAAATAAAATAAATAATTAAAATAAAAATTTTTTATTATTTACTTATAAAGTAATCGTTACAGCACTTCTCATATTTTGTGTAACCCACAAATAATATACTTAAATTTAAATCAACATGTGGTGCGCAATTCTTTTCATTTTTTAGCCTTGTTTCACATTTTCGTACTTTTCGGCATTAAAAAATGCAAATGCTGCCAAAGTTCAACAAAATAAAATCAAATTTTTTATTGTTTCCAAAACCGTCTCCCAAACATTTCAAAATAAGGTGAATCTATTCGAGAGAATAGCGCATTTTGGGAGGAACTTATTTCCTGGGAGTATTCAAAATATTTATTATTTCAAACAAAATTGTGATATTTAAGTAATTTTTTTTTTTTGGATCCTTGAGTGCAACCGCAATCTCGATAACGCATATTGAGGTGTAATCGTAATATTAGAAAAGCACACTCATGTGCGCAGAGAATTTTATTATTTTTATAAGTCAATTACATAACATAAATTTGCGTGTACGTAGCTGTATGCACAATCAACGATTGATCCAATTTTAAATTTAAGGAGCACAACTCTACAGTGCGTGTACGCAGATTCTTTTACTTAACACCACAAATGTGCGTGTGCACATATAAACAATTAAATCCGCTCGCATAGTAAAGTGTGGCAAAAATTTGTGTACCACATTTCCGAACTCTGATAATAATCATCAGTATTTCACCATTTTAAGTTCATTTATTTAAAAATTTTTTATTAACTTTGATTTCTAATGTTTTGCAAAGTTAACATCAATTCAGTTTTGAATATAAATTTATTTTTTTTTTTTTATTTCTTTTTTTATTGAATCCTTCTTAACATAAGAAATTAACAATAAATTTTCAAATCTTAAACTAAATACAAAAAATTAAAGCCTTAGTTTGTGGGTTATTTATAATCTTTTAAAAGTAGATATAGCAATAAAATAGCAATAGCAATAAAATTTATCAATACATTTATCAATTTAGCAATAATTTAGTTATCAAAACATATTTTTTAAATAATAATAATAATAAATTTAAATTAAAATCTCTCGTCAGTCCGATCTATAGAAGCAGGGGTTCCTCAGGGATCGCCACTTTCTACCACTCTCTACAACATTTATACATCTGATATTTCATTGTTAGGTCCCTCGACTTTGGCGTTATATGCTGACGATACGTGTATGTTATACTAAGACAAATGTGCTCTCAACATAACCAACACACTTCAAGAGCATATAAACCTCATTCTGGAGTATTTTCAGAAATGGAAAATAAAAATCAATAATGAAAAAACTAAGGCTCTGTTTATAACGCGTAAATGGAGACAGAATCCGTCAAGAGTGAGAGTGGGTGATATGGTGATAAACTGGAAGGATAGCGTTAAATATCTCGGCATCACGTTGGACAAACGATTCACATGGCTTACACATGTTCAACTGAAAAGAATTAGCTGCGCCAAAATTCTTCATTACCTCCAACCGCTATTTAGAAATGAAAACCTCAATACTAAGAACAGGAAACTGATATATAACTAAATAATTTTTCCGTCACTTCTATATGGTTGTGTAGCGTTTAGCAAAGATTCAAACACTACTATTCACCAGTTAGAAATTGCACAAATCCAGCCTCTGAGAAGACTTTTCAAAGTTCCTTGGTACATTAGGACGAATAACATCCTCAGGGACCTCAAGATTGATCCCATCAAAAAATACATAAAGGATAGAGCCCTGAAATTATTTGCGAAATCTGACAGACTTACTAACACCGCGTTATCAAATCTCAGAATGGTTACAGGCTCCTAGGGGAGATATGCAGATCTGAGGTCAATTATTATTTAGTCTAATGAAGTGATAAACAGTGCTCAGGTGCACTGACTCAACTCAACTAGCCTCAACATAGAATAATAAAATCAGCAGGCCAGTAGTTGTTTCTTTTTCAAACGTGAAGTTCTAAGTGTTGGAACCAACTGTCTGGCTTGTGGGTTGGGATGTACACTAAGCTTCGTAAGAACTTTGCCTATGTATGCTCGGGCAATATCCTTTACTAGTGGGATGTTTAAATTCTTATGGATATTGGAGTTTTTTACGTACCATAGGGCTCCTGTTATTTTACGTGTGATGATGTTTTGCACTCTTTGAATTTTTTCAATATTTGTAGAGCAAGTTCAACACCATAAATTAATTCCATAAGTCCATATAGGTTTAATGATACAGTTGTATAGTAAGACTTTCTTTTCAAGACTTAGTTTACTATTTGGGTTCATAAGCCAATAGAGCTGATTAAACTTTAATTTCATTTGTGTTTTCTTACTATCTATGTGTTTGCTCCAAGTCAAGTTTCTATCAAGATGAATGCCAAGATACTTTTTTTTTACGTTTGCTTGCAGAATTGGAGTGTTGTTCAGCGTAACTTGTGGACAAGTCCCTTTTCTTAGTGCAAACGTTGTTTGAACACTTTTTGATTCATTTACTTTTATCCTCCATTTGGCCAACCACTCCTCAACAAGACACAGATGAAGTGACAAATTTTGAGAGGCTATTTTGGGGTTTCTATGTTCACTAAGGATTGCAGTCTCGTCTGCAAAAGTTGACAAAAACGGCCCAAAAACACTTCCCTGAGGAACACCTGCCATTATTTCAACTTCTCTTAAAGTAAAAGAGTTATGTTTCAAACGAAATTTTCTAGAAGTTAAGTAAGAAAGACATAACCGATGCATGTTTTCAGGCAGTTTTAATTTAAATTTCGCAAGTAAGCCTTCGTGCCAAACCTTGTCGAAAGCTTGAGCAACGTCCAGAAAAATGGCAGTATTTTTTCTTCTGGAAAGCAGTGTGGATTTAACTTGCAATTCTGTGAACTTGTTCTATTGTTCCGTGATTTTTCCTGAAACCAAATTGGTGATAAGGTATTATTTTATGATGCGTTATATAAGGTTCCAATTTAGCTAAAATTGTTCTTTTGAAGATCTTCGCTAAGTGAGGAAGAAGACATCGGCCTGTAAGAGGTAGCCATTGTTGGAATCATTTTTATCAGAGAAACTTTCCATTGCTTTGGATAATAGCCAGTAGCAAGAATGCTATTAAATAATATGGTTAAAAATACAATTAAATTGTCAGGGAGAAGTTTTATCATTTTGCCTGTAATATGATCAAGACCTGGTGCCTTTTTAGGATTTGAATTTGTTTGAATTGCTACTTTTACTTCATAAATACTTAGTTTAATTGGAGCTTTCACCTTTACTGGAAAATGAACTCCAGTGTGAAAGTTGACGACTTCTGGATTTGGTGGAAATACTGTTTTTAAGTTATCAACTAGAACAGATCCCTTTTCTTCATCACTTTTAGCTCATGATCCGTCTAGTTTTCGGATGGGAGGATCATTTTGAATAGATATTTTCAATTTTTTGGATGCTTTCCACAAAGTATTATTTTTTTTTTTATTAAGTCCAATATTCTATAAATAGTGCTGTACTGCCAAATTTCTATGATTGTTGAGTGTATCTCTAAGTAATTTAGTGAATTCATTAAGTCTTTGTGTAGCGTTAGTTTTGGATATAATAAATAAGGTTTGTTTTTATACAAAAATTATTTTTTAATGTACTATAAATAAAATTAGTCTAATTTTTAGTAAAGATAAATTATGTGTTGTATTAGTTATTATTATTAAGACGTAAATTGTTATTATTATGACGACTTAATTTTTTGTTTTAATGTTATTTTATGTATAAAATAAAATGACTTGAAATTGAGTAAATACTCAAAAATCAAAAGTTTCTCGCATTTATTAACGTATCTTTATCAATAATTGAATTAAGTGGAAATAAATATATATTTTTAAATACCTTGAAAGTATTTTACAATGATGGTTTCCAACATAATTTTCAGGTTGAAGAAGATGAAGAGACTCGTGCTTATCGTATTGAGATTGAAAAGCAAAAAGCTCTTAGGGAAAAAATGTTGAGAGATAAAGAATTGAAACGAAGAAAAAATCTAGAAGATAAACTTCATGAGGTGAGCTTAACATTTATTATTATTTCGTTTATGTTTTCTAACCTAAAATAATTGAAAGTATTAACAAATTAAAGTACATTTCAATGCAATTCTTAGGTGTCATTAAGAATTCAAAAACTTTCAAAACTATCAAGAAAACACATGATTATACCATAAATTTCACATTTGGATTTTAAAATATTAATTTTAGGACAAGCGTACAATTCAAACCCGTAGTAGCAACTGTAGTTATATTAAAACGAATGTGGAGAATCAGCAATTGCAAGAGTTACAAAAATTAAAGCCTTTAATTGTCACTGAGCGTAAAATAATTTCACTAAAGAAACGACAACAGCACGGCGATAATGAAGATGATAATATTTGTAACAGTCAAACAACTAGAAAACCGGAGTCACACCACATTCCAAAACAGGCACACCCTTACTCGCACTCTCAGTCATGCAGGAAAAAGTTGACCGCTGAAAAAGTGTTACCAGAATCAAAACGAACATTAACTGACCATTTAACAAATGCCAGAAATTCTGGATCTGTTGGTGGAGACGAAACTAGTCAAAATAATAACATACCTCACATGAAATTTATTCATAAAATAGAAATTAATGCAATGAATAAATTTGATGCCCAAAGACTTTCTTCTTCGAATGAAGATGAAGTTGAATTGGATTTTGATGAAGATGAATTAATGCTAGAGGAAGAAGATCGTCTGCTAGCTACTCCTACTCCTTCACCACCCCCAACAAAGCAAGTTTCACATTCACCTACACAGGATTTATCAAATAGTGAGATAATTGCTGATAATAAAAATATAAACATAATGTCAAGAACATCTACCAAATCTGTTTTTACTGCAAGTAGACGAATAATTTTAAAATCTTCATCGCCTAAGACCGTGTTTAAAAATCGACAAGGAAATAACAATCATCGTGGGAGCCACAGCAGCGGAACTTCATCTCGTAAAGGTATTTTTGATCGATTGGATATACGGAAACATATACGTAGGAATAGTAATGATGAAAAAACAAAATCAAGGCGTATTATAATAAATCATGATTAATACATATATACACACACACGAATATATATAAGAGAATTTTGATAAATTAATGACTTTAAAATTGTTCTTGCTGCTTTATTTACATCAGTATACATTAGTTATATCTTTAATATATGAAATATATACATGTATATAGATTCTTTTCTGATTGTCCATAATCTTAATATACTAGTTATATTGAAAATATGTAGATACTTGTATTTAATAAGGTAATCATAGTTTTAAATTATATACATTTCGCTTTTTAAATTTTCACACAAAACCAAAATCCGATTCGTTGTTATCTACATTATTTGATTCAATAAATATTTTAATCAAAGTTATTTAAATTATAAACGTGAAACTTACAATTAATTTAAAATATAATATATTTTAATTATATGTTAATAGAGAAGTATTTAAGTGCAAAAAATAAGGATTTATATAGTTATATAATATTCATGTAGTTTTTAAATTTTTATTTTTATAATTGTGTAGTTAATTAATATAATTGAAAATATTTATACCAATAATTAAATTTTATTAAAAGGAACATTTTTGAACATGAAGTTGGTTTATAAGTTTATGTTTATAAGTTTATTTTTGACAGTTTTATATATTATATATTGATTTTAAATTGATATATGATACAGATAAAGTCTGTAGCTAAAAATTTTCTTCAGATAATTTTAGTAAAGAACAATTTTTTTATCTGATTAAAGAGCATGTTGTATTAGTAATCAATATAAATATGTATAAATATAGTCTTTCTATTAATTTGCGAAGGGTTGGCTACTTGCCTGTTGCAGATGCATTGTATTCGTATTATAATATTACACCAAATTAAATATAAATTGTGATTTACCTAAAAATAACCATTGTATTATTCTAACAATATATATGTTTTATAATTTTATTTATAATATAAACATCAACAGTGCAAAAATCGACAAGAAATTCTGTAAAACGTCCCTAAAATTTTGAAAAGTTAAAAAAAAAACTTGTTCTATTTTAATATTTCTGGATTTTTTATACAAATTTAAATATTTAGTGCAGCCTAACAACTGGACTAGAAATTATTATACTATGTTGTTACTATATAAAACAGCGTATTAAAAAAGCACTGTATTTCATTGAGTACTAAAATATATATTAACGAATGATATTAATTAATAATTTAGCAATAACATTTCTTTAATTTGTTTTAAAAATATGTTTCAATATAAAAAATTAAAATTTAGTTATCAAATTTATTCATTGTCATTACAAGCTATTAAAAAATGTAAGCTTCTAATATTTGTTTTTAAGAAAAAACAAAAATTTTTATAATATCTAAGTAAAATTTTTCTATACTTTATGTACATAGATCAACAAGATAAACATATACATGAAAAATATGAATAAAACAAACTTATTTGTTGGATATATACGATATCACTTTCTTAAACTAGTGTAAAATAAACTTTAAAATAACAACAAATACAAATAATTTTGTAATATTAAATGTTTAGTTGAATATATTCATACTTAACTAGTATTAAACAATATAGTATATATTAAATGTTTTTCTAATTAATACAAATATATAACAAATTTCAGTTATGTTACACTTAAAAATTTATTTAAATGTGAAAAGCAGCAAAGATCAATTTTAAAGATTCATGTTTACTATTTTACTATATAAAGCATTATTCTAAAAATAAATTTTCATTTGTAAGGCATTAATAAACAAATATATAAAATGAAAATTTAATAAATTATGTTGCCTGTCAATAGCAATAAAAGCGAACACAATACAAATAAATAATATTGTAATTTAATTTTTAATATTTATTTTTTATATCATAAAGTATAAATTTTTAATGTACAGCCATTACAGTACAAATCAAATCATCAAAATGTATAAAAAATTCTAAATATATAAGTAAATATTACATGTAAAATTGTTATTTAAAAAAAAAACCGGCATATTTTGCCGAACAAAGTTGTGATAGTTGGTTCTTTTAACATTTTTAGCATATACACTTCCACATTTAACATATTAAAAGTATATTAAAAAAGTAAAGAATTTATCAATTAGGTCACAATTTTATCAACTTTTATCAAATTTTTCTTTTGATATAACTATTTTCTGCGTGTTTAGTTCTTAAATTTTTTATATAATTTTTTTTAAACCTAAATTCAATATTTTGTAAAAACTTTTCTTTTTGTTCAAACATAATTGTTGAACTATGTTTCTAATATTAATATGTTTGTATAACGTCTAATCACGTTATATAAAGCTTTTAAAAAGTTGTAAGTCTGAAGTATTTGAAGTAATTTTTTAAATATATTATTTAAGCAAAATTGTAAGTAAAAATCGTCAAACCAATTTTATTGTTTCATCAAATTTAAATTTTTTTTCTTTATTAATTTACATAAATTTGATTTTGAGTTAATTATTCATTCATATAAACTTTTGTTGTAATAAATAACTTATATAGTAATTTTTTTCTTATATTGTATATAGCTTAATACATTCTATAACGTTCTTCTTTTTCAGCGGAGTTTATTCAAATATGTTCGTTTTAGAACATTAAAGAAGCATATGTTATATAATGAATGTTTTTTTTTAAAAAAAAACTAAAAATATTTGCCGTCTTTGAGTTTATCTGATGGCCCATTCCGTTCAGTATTTAACAGAATAATATATAAAATAAAGTCTAACATCTTTAACTGCGTTAAAAAGAATTTGTTTTATTTATCCAAATATATTTTAACATTATTCAGAAAAGCATATGTCAGTGTATGAAAAAATAAAATAATAATGAGTTGCTATGCTCACGTAAATTATATATTTATTTATTAAACAAATATTAGACTAGAACAATTAAGATTAATGGTTTTACAGATCCGAAAACGCGCGCACAACACTAGCGCAAAAAGTAGAAGATATAAGGAAACAACGTCAAAATGCTAAAAAATATATGACATGTCAAAATACGAAATGTCAATTGTTAAAAACACTAAAATCATGCTGCTGAGCTGTTGTGTCAAATATCAAACATCCTGGCTGGCTGGACGCCCCACCAGCCTACATATTTTCTGTATGGGTCGCATGCATTCGCCAGTTGAATGTTTAATTGTAACTACCTGTACCAAGTCATCTACGCCTTCATGAAATTTGGTGACCCTGTAAACCCGCCAATGTGTTGCTGATAGATTCTCGTAGTGGATAACCACGACATCGCTTATGTTGATATTGTCACTTTTCCGATACCATTTTGAACACAGCTCCTAGGTTAAAGATATTCATCATGTCATTGTCGCCAAAAATACTGCTGGGTACCTTGTTAATAGGTTCATCTGGTACTACCAATAGCGGTTTTTTGAATAGGAAATCTGCCTGTGATAAAGCCATCTTGCACGAGACTCGACATGCGCGAGTATAGTATGCAATTTATTACAATAAATTCAATTCTGACATTCAACCAGACAATGCGTAGTAAGTGCTTCTTTACTGTCTTAACGGCAGCTTCCCATAGACTATCATGATGTGATGCATCAGGTGGTAGAAAATGCCATTCATCAATTTGCCAACCGCTGTTGAGTATATTCTGTAACAACAGAAATTTTCATAGTAAATTTCTATCATATATTATAAACAAGTCAGTGTCTGACTGTCAGTAACAATATTAAAAAAAAATGGCTTTAATTTAATTTAACTCTGTTCCAGCGAATATAAATTCTCTGGACTTCAGAAATGAGATCCTCAGCTAATTCGATATGCACTGCCTTCGTTACAGGAAAATTACAAAATTTTTGTAATATTAAAAATATTAATAAATTGTAAAATTTAGTTTTAATTTCACTTTTAAGTTAAGTTAAAAAAATGCGTGTTGTTGCCGTGAGACTTACAAGATGAGAGAAAGAAAAAAGAATAAAAAAAAAACAATATAAAGTTAAAGTTATGCTGTATTAAAAACAGGAATTATTTGAGTCATCAGCTTAGGTCTGATGATTGATTTTGTCACTTCTAATGATTTTGCACCAGTATGACAATTATAGTAGTTATGTGAAGGAATCGTAAATAAATTTTAACAAATACAACGTGAAATTTTGAATCATAATAAAGTGGTCCGTTTAATAAACAACCTCCTACACGAAGCAGATTGCATGTTCGAGAACCATTTCTGACTGTATAAATAAATGGAGTTTGTTTTTGAATGCTGGGTGATAATTTATAAGTGACTTCTTCATTCTTTAGGATTTCATTCCTGATTTCAATGGGAGATTTTTAAGAAAGCTCATTTTGTTCCATTGTGGTCGAAATAAGAGCGGTAGCTCTCTCGTTTTTGTGTAGATACGAAACGTAGATTGCAATGGCAATGGCATTGGGTTCACTTTCAACTGCTAAAAGTGGCTTACCTTGGCCTTTCGTTGCTCTAAACTTTTATCTGTTGATAATACAAAAATACTATTTTTTGGCCAGTTAGTCGATCTTAAAGCATATGAGGGATCTTTGAACCACATTGAGCTATTAAACTCGTTAACAGTAAAACCTCTAGAAACTATGTCTAATGGATTTTGTTTGGACGGAACGTGTCTGCATAAAGCTTGGTTTGACTACTTTTGAATTTCTGACACTCTATTTATCAAAACTGAGACGGGCAATTACATAGTAGATGCTCCAGAGTTTCCTTTGCATCCGGATCGTTGCATTTCTTACAAGCATCGCTGTGAGTTAGGTTTAGTTTTTGGGCATGTGATGCGACCAGACAGTTAACTGTCAACACACCAATTAGTGTTCTGCAATTCCTTCGGTTAGACGATATATCATCCTACAGGTGGTTAAGTTCCGCCACCTTACCATTGCTCTTCTTATCATGTGCTCGTCCAGAAGTTTATGTTTTTGTTTCAGAGGTCTAAGTAATTCG